CTTATTTCTTTGATAATTTAGTTTCTTTAGGATTTGAGTCAACTCTTAGAATATTCCTAAGATGTGCCAGATCAGAACTTAACTCCTGTTTATTAATTGTAGATGGCTTTGTCCTGAGCTGAGATGATTTTAGTTCCCAGACCTTTCTTTCCCTTGACGATATTTGGTATTCCTTGGCCACCAGGACATCCACAGTTTCCTGTGTTTTTTTCATGCTGTGGATGGAGGCATTTGGGGGGCAAAATACTGATTTAGGGACTAGAAAACCTGAATTCAAATCTATACTCTACCATTTAATTTTTGAAACAACGCTGGGCAAGCCACCTGTCTTCTCTTCAGTTTCCTGTGTTCTTCAAAGTGTGGGACATTTTTCTTCTTCCTGCCCAAGCTGATCTGTATATTCTGAAAGTTAGCACTGTTTCAGTTCAGTGAATGCTTGAGTGCCTCCTAAGTGTCATGCTTATGAAAACATTTTGGAAACTATGAATATATAAAATGATACCACTGTAACTGATTCGAACTTACTCCATGACCAAAGGTTGTGTTGTTTATTTAATATGTATGTTCCACACTGAAGTCAACCTGCTACAAGTCATATGCAGTCTTAGTGTACTTCAGTGACTTGGTTTGAATCTGTGTGCATATATGTGCCTTTTTCCTTTAATATATTTACACTGTGAAGGAAAACTCGCCCTTGAAAAGTACTGTGGTGGCATTTTTAAAGCCAGTCAACCTAGTTCTTCTGTCTCTACCCAATATTGTTGAGTATTGGTAGTGGCTACAGCATTACTCACCAGTTAGGAGCAGACCAGACAGCCACATTCCTTTAAGTCATCTTTAGGTGAGACAGCACCTGAGGTATTTCAAAGTCATGCCATTTTTTAACCTGCCCCAGCACATGTGATCACAGGCATAGACTCCGAAAGGTGGAAGTTAGTTTAGTCTTTTAGAAGTTATTAAAACCTTTTATGGACTCTTCTCTGCCTAACCTGTTAAGAGTAGAATGTGTCAGAGAGGAGAGAAATGGGAAAATATTACCTTGTATTCATGTAAATCTTAGTTTCTGACTGTTTTAACCTGTCATAGTTAGCCAGCCATCCTATGGCCACATTGCTCTAAGTCTTAATCTGTTTTGGAGGAAGTCTCCATAATGCTGTTGGAGTTCATTGCAAAACTCTTGACTCCGCTGTTAGCCCCATTTCAAAGTCTAAATAAGAATGGACTCAAGCTGTATGCTCAACATCCTTCTCGTTTTAGCTGTCTTCTTGGTGATAGTTTTGTATGTGAGCATTAATCTGGAGTCTGACAGATGACTGGGCAATTGAGTTGCTAGTTTAGTAGCATCAGACCAGCCTTTCTGACCTCTTCCCTGTGAATTGCCTGATAAGCACCTTTTGATTAACCATGAACAGCATGACTCTGGCCATATACTGTTGTGCAGCTGCCTGTTTAGATGAAGTAAAAGCCCTTGTCAGCAGAGTCTGCTTTCTGAGTTTGATCGCAGTCCAGTAATTGTACATCTAGACAACTGAACCGGGCCCTTTGTTCACCGAAAAGAAGGGTTCTTCTCTCCATATTTGAAAATCTGGAGGCTGTTTCTCACCTTCTCTGACTCTGGTACTGATCTCCCTCACATCCTGGGTACGGGCCTGGCCCTTCTGCCCCAGGCCTTTAGGTTGCATATAATTGTAGGTGTGAGTGAGTACTCAGGATCACCCTGGGAGCTAGACTTTTGGAGGGAAATTTTTGTAGACTGCTGGTTGATACTGAATTTATGGTAGAGGGACTTACTGCTTTAAAGAAAAGTTTATATTTTCTTTAAAATAATTCCTGGACTGTATGTAGTATAAGAAATACAAAATGTTAAAGAGGATGGGAATGGGGAAGGCCCATAGGAAGGGTTGAAATGGAAATATAAACCAACAGACAAATTGGGGTTGTTACAGCATATCTGATGTTGAATTGGTGGAGATACGAGAGTTCTAAGAGGTCTCAAGGAAAACCCAGCAGTATTTGTGCTTGGCTTGCACTTTTCTGGCAGGAGAAGCACAAGTGAACTTCTAACAGTTTCGCAAAAGCCAGTTGATTTACTCTGTGTATGTAAGGTCTGCTGCTCAGTGTTTTTTCAAGCAATGGTTTTCAAACGGCAGGTTTTTCAAACTGCAGGTTGTGATCCACCAGTGGGTCATGAAACTGAAGTTTTAAGAAATGAAGTATGAAATGAAACACTTAGGATAGAAAATAGCAATGAGTCACACACATGGTAAGGGTCAATATTGTTTTATGAAACTCTTAAAACATACATTGTATTGAATTGTGGTGTAAAACATTCTCACTGTAGGTTGTAATGGTCAGATTCAAAGCTGATGAAGTCACTGCTTTAGAGAATACAAAGAGAATTAAAACTCATTCTTCCTTCTCAAGGAACTTGAAATAACAGATTTGTTTTTAATGATGGCTACTCAGTATATGTTTGTTTGTAGCTCAGTTTCATGCTGGGAATGGGAATTCTAAACCCATTCTTGGGCAGTGGTTCTTTATAGAAAACTGCCTGAGGAGGAAGGGAGGGATGTGGAGATGTTTAATCTTAAATTTATAGGATTCTATTTAGGGTGTCTGGGTATCCATTAAGATAGAGGTACTAATGTAAATGACCACTAAGTAAATATCTTTTTACATTTTTCAGAGACTTGGAACTATTTTCCAAGTTGGGAGAAATCTTGTCATTAATTAATGAACTTGGAAGTTGCTATAGTTTTACAGCTTTTGTATTGTGATTATAAGTGAAAAGACTCCCTGTCTAGAATTCTTGATGGTCACCATTGCTTACAGTTTGTAGACAGATGGCACTCCTAATTCAGATAGCTTTTTCCTGTTTGAAAGATTGTATCACTTTTAAAACTTTGCCAGAATGGAATAGATTCAGTTGATTATTTCCTCTTGCATCTCTGAACCTCATCATTTTATAGCTCTCCTTCAGGAAACATACAATGCCTAGTTTAAGCTCAAGAAGAGCAGTTTAAATGGGAAGTAGTTTTATAGACTTGTCCTTCATTCAAGTAATTGCTGTTTCCCATTCTGAAGCTCTTCTCCCAGGAGAGCAGAGCTTTGATCACCAGTGCTGGCTGTTTCGTGCTTTTGTTATTGTAGTTTCTCCCAGCCCCACCAGTGTTTATTTTAGCCTGTAAGGCTATATGTTAGAGGTATTGCCGAATGGTTTGTTTTGTTGTTGTTTGTTCTTTATAAAATTACTGTTCTAGGACTCTGTTCTCACGGAAGGAAATATTTCAGATTTAATGACTTTTATATTTGGTTCATTTCTGCCTCTCTAGCTCGCTGTCTTAAGGAAGAAGGAGCCAAATCCACGAGGGCAAGTGTAGGCGGGTTATATTTGTTTGGGTGGATGTTCTTACAAATGCTCGGCGTTCTAGTTAGCAGTGTGGTATTTCTTGAGATTCCTGGATACAGGCAGTTAAAGTCCTATGATCTTTTATTTATTTATTGGCCGTGCTGGGTTTCTGTTGCTGCTCGGCTTTTTGTGGGGGCTGTTCTCTAGCTACGGTGCACGGGCTTTTCACTGCGGTGGCCTCTCGTTGCAGAGCATGGGCTGTGAAGTGCAGGCTTCAGTAGTTGCGACTCCCGGGCTCTGTAGCACAGCCTCTGTGGTTGTGGCACAGAGGTCTGGCTGTTCCGGCCAAGGCATGTGGGACCTTCCTGGACCACGGACTGAATTCATCTCTCTTGCATGGGCAAGCAGATTCCTTACCATTGAGCCATCAGGGAAGCCCTGTCTCGTGATCTCTTAACTGCAATTCTGTAATCTATAAGGTTCTGAAAATCAAAGATTTTAATTTTATTTGATAGTTTGACTTGATCTGAGCTAGCTATTTGCTGCTTTATTTAACCCACTTAGTTTGAGTTATCCATGTATTTCACTGTAAAGGTGTTAATGTTTGTTTAATGCTTTTGAGATCATTAACCCAGCGTTGCCAACAAAGGTCCATCTAGTCAAAGCTATGGTTTTTCCAGTAGTCATGTATGGATGTGAGAGCTGGACCATACAGAAGACTGAGCGCCAAAGAATTGATGCTTTTCATCTGTGGTGTTGGAGAAGACTCTTGAAAGTCCTTGGACAGCAAGGAGAGTCAACCAGTCTGTCCTAAAGGAAATCAGTCCTGAATATTCATTGGAAGGTCTGATGCTGAAGCTGAAACTCCCAGTACTTTGGCCACTTGATGCCAAGAACTGACTTATTTGAAAAGACACTAATGCTGGGAAAGATTGAAGGCAGGAGGAGAAGGGGGCGACAGAGGATGAGATGGTTGGGTGGCTTCACCGACTCGGTGGACGTTGAGTTTGAGCAAGCTCCAGGAGTTGGTGAAGGACAGGGAGGCCTGGTGTGCTGCATTCCATGGGGTCTCAAAGAATCGGACATGACTGAGCAACTGAACTGATAGTACATATACCACTGTAGAATCCAGAAAGGTCAATTTCTGAAATCTGGCCCAGAGAGTTTCTCATGAGGAGTTACAGATCCATATTACTCATCTTGGTGAACTTACTGATTTTATTTCTTATGTATACCATCAGTCTGAGTGTGGAAATAGGAAGCTAGCCAATATAGTGACAAGAACATGGGTTTTGGGATCAGACAGAGCTGCCATAATAATCTCCCCAGTCTGTTTTATCCTCTGTAAAATGTGCTAAGTGATACTGCCCTTAAATTTGATAGTAGTGATTAAATGAGATAATATTAATTCCTTTTTAATTTTTTAAATTTATTTTTAATTGAAGAGATAATATCCTTGATCAGAATTAATTTCCTCATTTCTTTTTATAGTCTTATCCCAGCAGGAGATTTTTTTAAAAACTAAATATGGTATTTATTACAATACTTTAAAAAAAAAAAAAAACTAAGGGGGGTACCAGTGCTTTTATTCCACTTGTTTTGCAAAATCATACTCCTTTCTTCCTTTCTCCTGTCTGTCTTTGGTCCCTAGGGGAACATGTAACGTCAAGGTTTAAAAATGAAGTGGAGCGGATGGGTTTTGATATGAACAACGCCTGGAGGATTTCTAACATCAATGAGAAGTACAAGTGAGTTGTATTTGGTCCCTGTGGACTGTGTTTCATGACCACTGTCTTTTCTAGAAACCCCAATTCTCATGTGGCAGAACATTTGAATTTAAAATTTTTCTTTAAAACAGAGTTTTATGTATTAAATATAAGTGTGTGATTTTCAGAGTACTTATTGAGCCTTCTGTTTCCATTACTATCACTGGAGTGGAAAGAGATTCTTACTTAGTAGAATCCTGGAATCTTTCTTCCAGTGCCCTCCAGGCCTCTCTCCTGGCACATGTATGTCTAAACACCTGTAGGCAGGCAGGTTCTCTTGTCCTCATCACTATTCAATAAAACACTTACCTGTAGACAGGCAGGTTCTCTTGTCCTCATCACTATTCGATAAAACACTTACCTGTAGACAGGCAGGTTCTCTTGTCCTCATCACTATTCGATAAAACACTTAGGAGCTCGTTTTTATGTGCTTTTACCCCAGACCATATGAAATAGTCTTAAGTCTTATTCTGTTTAATTCCTTGATCTAAAATTAATGTCATAGCTATGATTGTTTAACCTTTAAATATTAATGTAACCATTACTAAATATTTTCTTGGAAGGTATAAGAACTTTGATAGGGAAGGGCAGTTAATTACTATGATTTTGGTGATTCATATTTCTATAAAATGAAAGAAAATTGTCCAGAATTTTAAAATTAACATCCTTTTCCGCTTAAGTTTCCCTGCAGCAGTTGGAGACATTAATCACTGTGTTATCTTTCCAACTACCTCAAATTATGATAGCTGTTTTCTTGGACTGTGGGTAGCCGTCAGAGCATTTAATATTTTGCTGGAAAAACTACAGCTAATTACTATATACAGTTCTTAACATGGACCTTGGCCAAGGAGGTGTTGCCAAGAGTCAGGAGCTACAGGTGTGTCATACCTTTGCCTGTTCTCAGCTGACAAGTCAAAGGAGAGAATCAAGGTGGGAGGGGGTCCTCAGGGAGCCTGAGGCTGCGACAGGCTTTGTTCACATGTAACCCACCTTTCCTGTACTGGAGGCTGCTTATCTGCCGAGTGAGCGGCTATACTCGGTGAAGAGCTGACTGCTAGGTAATGTGATACTTAGAGGATAGGAGCGTAGCAATCCAAATATTTTGTGAAGTAAGACAAAACACCTAATGTTTGCCCTAATGAAAACAGCTTTTTTAAACACAACACTGTAAGTCAGCTGTAAGATAAAATAAAAATTTTTTAAAAAACTGGCTTTTCCCGCCTTGAGTGTAGTTCTGAAGTGTGTTTTATAGAAATGATGATTAATAGCATACTCGCATCACTGACTTGGCTTAATGGGGCTGTGATTGTGTATGCAGGTGGGGCTGACCCACTCTGCTGCGTCTGTACCCACAGCTGCACCTGTTACCTACAATTAGGACACCTTGTTTGGTTCACATGAAACAACACCATAGTAATGCTGTGAGGTCTCTGGGAAGTCGAAACTGGGGGCTCTTGCGCTTACTCCGTTTCCCTGAAAGACTGAGGGCCTGGTAGAGTAACACAGACTCCACCTTTGCAGGTGAACTGGGTACCTGTGTGGTTAGAAGTGATCCGTGTGTTGGTTACAACAGTTAGGTAGAGTGAATGCCTCTCAGCTCCCTTGTTTTCGTTGAGTGTTAAGATGGCCAGATTTCCCAAAGGCAGCATCAAGTGGAGCAACCCAAGGCAGTATCACTTCACATGAATAACACTTAGGGCAGCCCACACCACTGAGTAGGGCGAAGCCTCACGTCTTGCTCCTTGCTGCCTTTTGAGCTGGCTCTGGGGTAGCTTGACGCACACCCTTACCCTGGCTCACTAGTCTCTCCTGCTTCCCTTCTCCCTCTTCCTCACTGTCCCTGTTAGGCTGTGTGGTAGCTACCCACAGGAGCTCATAGTGCCTGCCTGGATCACTGACAAAGAACTGGAAAGTGTTGCAGGCTTCCGGTCCTGGAAGCGCATCCCTGCTGTCGTCTACAGGTAAGGAGGCCTGGCCAGGTCCAGCTTGGTCTGGTGCTGCTGGTGCTGCCGCCCTGGGGGTGGGGTGGTGGTGGTTCAGGGAGCTCTCCAGGCTATTTTGTGCTTCCTTATTGTTAAAGTTGTTCGTCCAGTCATGGACCAGTCAGTACTTCACTGGAACACTACCTGATGATTCAGTTGACACTGAAAAGAAAATTTTGATTAAAAAATGGCTGGATTTTCTTTTTTAAGATCCTTCTGACATTGTTTTGTTTTTAGAAAATGTTTATTTAATTATGGCTGCGCTGGGTCTTCGTTGCTGCATGGACTTTTCTCTAGTTCAGGCGAGTGGGGTCTACTCTAGTTGCGGTGCCCAGACCTCTCGTTGCAGAGCTTGGGCTCTGGGGCAGTGGGCTGTAGGAGTTGTGGCTTCCAGCCTCTAGAGCACAGGCTCAGTAGCTGTGGCGCAGGGGCTTAGCTGCTCCACAGCCTGTGGGATCTCCCAGGACCAGGGATCGAACCTGTGTCTCCTGCATTGGCAGGCACAGTTTTTACCACTGAGCCACCAGGGAAGCCCTCTTCTGACATTCTACGGGAAGATAATGAATTCACTGCTTTTAGCTTCAGTTGATGACCTTTGCATTGAGAGAAATGAGTCCTGGAAAGTGAGAATAGGGAGTGTAGATTTGTGATTGTCTTTGTGGTTGAAATATTGCCACACGGAAAAAGTGTGTTTTGAGAGGGAGCATTTAGAGAAGGCTAGCCCTTGGCTGGTTAGAAGATACTAGAGATCGGAGGCAGGAGAGTCAAGGGAGCCAAATTCTAGAAGGGGTGGTGATGTGGTCACAAGCACAGTGTTAGAAGAACTCAAGTCTTCTCTCTGACACGCCTTGCTGTGGCACCTTGAGCAAGTTCCCTCACTGACCCCAGCCTGTTCCATGATGTTCTCAGTTCACAGGTATGCTGTGACATCTGAGGGACTCTGTCACACCAGGCTTCCTAATCAGTGTCTGGAGTAGATTGTATGCCTGAGGGCTGCTCTTATAATTCAGTGACTGTGTAGCTGAATCCTCACAAATCATGTGAAGTTTTTAAGAAGTCATTCCCTCATACTTTGGAACAATTTCAGATGTCCTTGTAATATTCACAGTCCCCATTTCCTTTTCCCCATTTGCAGACTTTATGGACTCTCCTTGAATTTGGGCCAAACCAGTGAGGCTTAGTTAGAAGTTCATGCCAGGAGGAAGTCTATTGAAATACTGAGGTGGTAAGAAGGGGTTTAAAATTAAAACTTCTTGTATAATTCCTAGTGAGGTAACCAGCTTGTTTCCTTAGTCCATGGAAGGCAAATTTTAGTGGCCATCCGGAAGAGGGAGAGATGTGAAAGTACACATTTGCTTCTGGCCCAATGAAAGTCGCTCAGTCGTGTCCAACTCTTTGTGACCCCATGGACTGTAACCTGCCAGGCCCTTCTGTCCATGGAATTCTCCAGGCAGGAATACTGGAGTGGGTAACCATTCCCTTCCCCTGGGGTTCTTCCCAACCCAGAGGTCGAACCCAGGTCTCTTGCATTGCAGGCAGATTCTTTACTATCTGAGCCACCAGGGAAACCCATTAAATTTTCAATCTCAGTTGTCATCACTGTTGTTTTCAGACACCTCTAGAAAAGTAGGTCACCAAATTTACCTATCATTCAAGTGGTAAGGTTGCACAGGAATTAGAGAGCAGTGCAAACTGAAAGGATTTGTGAGTCTTATCAGTGATCGGGCCAGCTCAAATAGGGAAAGCTGCCAACTGCTGCTGTGTGGCCAGCAGCTGTGTTAGATCAGCAGCCCTGTCATTTGCGGAGTTAGCTGACTTTGAGCGTAAGGGGAAAGGACTCTCATCTCAAAGCAAGGGTCATTCAGTGAAATTCTCCCTGTTGGTAGAGAGGCCTAAAAGTGTAGGCTGAAGAAAGACTTAGAATAAACATGGGAAGCTTCTTTTCCCTTCCAGAGTTTATGCCAGAAGGAATGAGCTTTGTTAGCTCAGGTGGCAGGATGCTTCTGAATCCAACATGTGTTTACTGAATGTAGTTGTCTGTAGATCGCTAATGACTCCTGAGGTTGCTGGCCGCACTTTTCTTGAAAGCACCACGTTGAACCAGCATCTGATCAGTGCTTTCTCCCATGGTGATGAGAGAGTGCTTCATTGGATTTATTGTTGAAGATGGAGGTTGCTTTAACACAGCGACAGTGCAAAGGCTGCCTGCCCATCTGTAGTGCAATTTACAGCTCTCTCACTCTGCATTGAGTGATTATTAGAAACTTCTAGTCATGGGGCTGTCTGGTGGCTCTGACGGTAAACAATCTGCTGCAACACAGGAGACCCAGGTTCGACCCCTGGGTCGGGAAAATCTCCTGGAGAAGGGAATGGCAACTCACTCCAGTATTCTTGTCTAGAGATTTCCACGGACAAAGGAGCCTGACAGGCTACAGTCCATGGAATCACAGAGTTGGACACGACTTAGCAACTAAGACTTTCACTTTTCGAGTCCTTTAGGGAGTTTGACTAATACTAACTTTGGGACAGTTTAAACATTTGTATCTTTCTATATGTAAAATTGAAGAATTCACTGTTTAGTAGGGGGCTCATCCATTGAACATCTTAAGTTTTATTTTTCCTGGTTCTGTTTTAAAATGATAGAAACACTCTTTAGTGATTTTTAGCTACAGTGTTTTGTTCTCTGCTGTCTAAAGCATTTAGAAGACTGCGGAAACTGCTTTTTGCAGCAATTCAGTTGCGATCTAGCTATCATACTATGATCCTTAAAACCCAAGACCCAGGCTGACGAGTGCCATCTACTGTTCTTCTCGAGCGTTGCTGGGAAAAATTTGGGAAGAAAAGGATGTGCAGCAAAGGCCCCACCACCCTATTCTGTAAAGAGCTGCTGCCCCTCAGCTCATTGGTTACCCGGCATCTATTATTGTATGCTGGTAGGCATTTTAAGAATCAATGAGGTTTTATTTATAGTTTAGCTGCATTCAGCAGTTGACCTAATTGTTGTGTTGGCAATACACAAGTACTTTCTATTATTTGTCTCTCCTAATGAGGGAGGATTTAAAAACAACAAACTGATGATTCCAGTGGAATTTATTGTTCCCAAATTTAATTTTATTGTTTATGAGTTTTAGGATTAAAGACAAAAATTTTTCTCACATTGTCCTTTGAACAAGACATCTAGATGCAATAGTCTGTTTGTTAAAAACCCATCTGTGCATAAAACATCTACATATGTTTTATGTGGATGAATGTGTATTTGGAAACAATTTTAATGGGAGTAAAGACATGGACTGTTCTCTCTAGGATATAGAATTTGGGAGATAATAAAGTTTTTTGCTTACTAGTTTTTTACTCATTTATTTTTATAGTGAACTGACTACTTTTATAACGTCTAAACAGCTTTATTGAGATGTCACATACAGTTCACCTTTTTAATGTGTGCAGCTCAGTGTTTTTAAGTCTATTCACAGTATTGTTCTGCCGTCACTATACTTAAACTTCAGTATGTTCTCCCCACCATAAAAAGAAATCCCAGACCCGTTAGCAGACACTCCCCGTTCCCTCCTCACACTCCCTGGCTCTGGGTTATCAGTAAATCTACATACTATCTCTATAAATTTTCCTGTTCTGGACACTGTATAAATGGAATCATAACGTGGTCTTTTGTGACTGAGTTCTTCCACTTTGGAGCAATAACATCCTCAAGGTTCATCTATGTTGTGACATGTATTAGAGCTTGATTCCTTTTTGTTACCAAATTACATTACCCTTACAACTTTTTAGTTGCTAAAATCACCTTACTAAAATTCCTAATTAGGAAAAGCTTGGATAGACAATCCAAGACAAAAGCTTGGATATAATTTCTGGTCTTTTTTTTTTTTTTCCATGAAAAAGGGTCTTATCAGAGTATGGCTTATTGATGCTCTTCATTTCCTTCTAAGAGTTTATGGAAGGGTAACTGGCTCATTGAGCTCTCTGCCTATAGTAAGAGCAGTTGTGACTCATGAAGTCTCAGGAGGTTTTGTAAAGCAGTCCATTGTGGGCCAGGTAAATATTTCAGTCCCAAATGTGGGATATTGTTTTGAAAAGAATCCTCAAACCAGCCATAATTGCACAGTTGCTATGCTGAGTCCTCCGAAATCAGTGAGGAAACAGATGTTTGTCTTAGCATCCATTAAGCTTGGATATTCAGGGGTAGTATTAAAAAGGAGAGATTAATGCTTCATTATTAAGTAGCAGAATTAGTGTGGCATTGGTATTTTATTTTTTACCCAATTTTCCAAAAGCAGTTATTCAGGTAGTTTTCCAAAAGTAGTTATTCTTCATGAATATTTTGTTTAATGTAAGAATACATATTTATCATTTTGTTGGTTATTCTACAAAGGTCTCTAAAATGGTATGATAATCCAGAAAGATCCAGATAGATTTCATTATTCTGATGGCTTATAAAACTCCTGCCCTGGGAGGCCTTGAAGTTAACCCATCACGTGCCTGTAATCAAACCATTCATTAAAGCATCTGAAATCTACTGTGTCACTCTTTGTGTGAGCACAGAGTACCCGAATAGGGAGGCGGGGCTGGGTGCAGTTGTCATCCTGTTCCCCACACAGGCACCAGAGCAATGGCGCTGTCATTGCCCGCTGCGGACAGCCAGAGGTCAGCTGGTGGGGCTGGAGGAACGCCGACGACGAGCACCTGGTGCAGTCAGTAGCCAAGGCTTGTGCCTCGGACTCCCGATCGAGTGGCAGCAAGCCGCCGCCGAGGAACAGTCCCCGGGACTTCCCCTGTGCAGGAGACCTCTCTGATGTGGAGTTTGGTAAGGTGTCCCTGGGCCTCTGGCAGCAGTTTTTATAGCATCTGACAACCTTTTCTTGAAATGGCCTTTTTTGTTTAAGGCAGAATTTGGTTTCTTAGAAGAGCGAGAGTGAAACTTCAGTTAGTGGGATTGTTTGAGGAGTAATGGGTTTTGGCAAAAACCAGAAGACCTTCTCTTTCAAACCTGATTTAAGAGGACTAGAGTGTTGTCTTTCTTGCCGTCGTGACAAGATATAATAGGGGACCTACACAGTGTTTCCAGACCATGATACTTAGGTTGTTGTCATTGTAGACTTCAGTTGTAGAACTGAAGTGTAAGAGATTGTAGGCAAAATAGAGAACAAAACGCAGGAGAGAAGTCCCATGGTATTTAGGTAGTTTGGGTTAGGTGGATATCAGTTAATCGAGTTTTTTGGGTACTGTAATAAGTGTCTGTGGTTCTTATTTTGCAACAGTTCTGGGAGAGACAGGTTCATTTTGTTTTTTTTCTTCCTGCTCCTGATGTCCCCAGATTCTTCTCTGTCAAATGCTTCAGGAGCAGAGAGTCTAGCCATCCAACCACAGAAGCTTTTGATCTTGGACGCACGCTCCTATGCCGCAGCGGTGGCAAACCGAGCCAAAGGAGGAGGCTGTGAGTGCCCAGGTGAGGTGCACAGTGCTTCTGTCCTTGGGAGTGCGGCCCGTGCCCACCTGGGTCTTAGTTCTCAACTTGAAATGAATGGAAAGCCATGTTCTCAGCCTGTCCTGAGAGAGCCTCATCTCCTTGGCTTCGCAGTACTGCATGCTCTTTTCATGGGAGAATTGGAGGAGGGAGTGCAGTGAAACCGGGTTCTTCCTTCCCGGTGCCAGCCTTTTGGTGATGAGGAAGGCAGGCAGTCTTCTCTCTCAAGAAGGCCTGTTAGGTCTGGAAGCTGCTGCTTTGGTGGCTTGATTTCTGAGCCTTCTAAAAGCTTTCTATTGTTTCACGTTGGGTATGCTCATCACTGGCCCCACAGAAAAGTCCTCAGATGGCTTTTACTTGAAAAATGCGGGGTAGAATTTGAAGAAAATGCAGAACTCTAGTGAGGTGCCTCGGTCCTGACCTGTGGCACCCCACCGTGTGCATCCTGGCTTATCCTGGCTTTTCCCACGGAGGGGCCTCTGGGTGCCGCTTGTGTGCCGATGGAGCAGGGACAGGCCCCGAGCCCCGTGCTCAGGTGTGAGCTGATGGCTGGAGAGAGCGGTGTGAGTACAGGATTTGAATGCGTGAGTGCGGGGTTCTGCTCGGTTCTTCTTATAGATTCCAGAGGTGCATGTTAGCAGAGGCCCAAGAAGTAAACCTGGGGTAAGGTAGAAGAGTGTGTGTGTGTGCCCTCAGTCATTCATAAGGACTGGGCTAATAGTCATCAAAACACCAGTATTTCATTAGGCAGCAGCTCCAGTGGATTTGTCCTAGATCCCGTTTGCTCCTTTTGAGCAAACTGAGCTTGGCGTTGTGGACGTTAAACTCACCGTATCTGTGTTCTCTCTGTTGCTCTCTGCAGAGTACTACCCAAACTGTGAAGTTGTTTTCATGGGGATGGCAAACATTCATTCAATTCGGAGGAGTTTTCAGTCTCTGCGTTTGCTGTGCACTCAGATGCCAGATCCGGGAAAGTAAGACCTTGGCCTTGGCTTGAAGTTTGCACTGCCCTTTTTTTCTTTTTTAATGAATTGGAGGGGGTCTTTCTATTCTTTTGGTAAACTTGAGTTTTACCATGAGTCCTTGGGTGTTCTCCTTCCTGTTTGAGGATCGTGCAGCAAAAAGGAGGAGCTGGGAGAAAAATCTAGCCCTTTGAAAGGTTTGAAAATGTGCAGCAGAGAACAGGTCTCAACCCTCAGAACAGAAGCACTGCTGCCTTATTTTTCCCGGGCCCTCTTCTTTCTCTTCTCCGTGTTTTTGACTCAGAGTAATTTAATTATTTGTTTTCTGACATCCTGTAGTGACACTTAACCTCCTCTGAACTGGAGTGTTTTACCATGAAGAGTAAAAGTGTATTCATCATGTTCTAGAAAGGGTTAAACTTTTAAACATGTCAGGAGATCAGCTCCTTTTACATTTGCTTCTGATTTTAAACTACTTTCTTATTTACTAAAAACATTACCATGATTTTTATTGCTTATTAAAAATGAATGGCTGGCATTTGCTGTGAGGAAGGTGAAATAATACCCCTCCCCACAAGGGAACTGTTTGAATACAAGATAAATTAGGAGAAATGCTCTGTAAAAACAAATATGGACAGATAAATATTTAAAAGCCCCTATTTTACTATTTCAGGAAGCCAGGCTGGTGCCAGAGAAGATAGAATTTTCTGTTTTCTGGTGTTCATGCAAGAGCCCATAGCAGTTTCTCTGAGTTCTGTTCAGTAGATCTCATGATTGCATCAATTTTGCAGCATCCTTTGATTTATTAAATCAAATGGCTGCCTGAATCACTTGTACGAACTCCTGGTAGCAAATGATTAATTTCATCATAGTTGCAATCAGCCGAGAGGGTGAAGCAGTTGTCCTTGGGGAAAAGCCTGACCAAAGAAATGATGGCTGTCTTACCTGGAGGGTCAGCAGTTTGCATCTGCTACACATACTTAGAGCCCAGCTAGTAGCACTCCCTTCTCTGCTGATGGCACACAAAAAGAGTCTGCTGAGGGTCCAGGGGATCTGCCACTGATTGCGTGACTCAAGCCAAGTGGCTTAATTCCTGTGGTTATCAGGTTAATTCCTGATAACCTTTTTCCTGCCTATAAAAGGGATAGCGTCAATACTCCCTGGTCTCTAATATCTTACATAGGTTAAAAGTCTTTCTTAAAAACTATTTTTTAAGCTCTGAGTCAAGAAGATGTAATTAATTAGCCCTTGTTTGGTCCACATGAATGTCGGGGAGGAGGGAAGTTGTAAAGGAAGAAGGAGATGACTTGTCTGTATTTGGCACAGATCATAATGCGTTACTGACGCTTCCCTGTGGATAAGAGATGCTATGGCTGTGGCGGGAGTAGCTGTAAGCCGGCCTCCTGACACTTGTTTGCAGCTGTGAAGGGCTCAGGCCCAGTTGTGTTCCTCCCTCAGTTTTTGAGAACAGGACGAGGGAGTCTGCAGTATCAGCGCAGTATCAGTACCTCCTCCATTGGCAGATTTTGGATGCAGCTTCTGTGTTAGGCATGGAGGCACTGACTGGGTTTTAAGGATGAGTCTGTCAGATTCAAGAGAACTGGGTTCTCATTTACTGTTTCTCCAGGGGCCAGGAGTTAACTTGGTATTTGTTCTCCTAAGCCCCACCTTTTAGTTTTCTTTTTCAAGACTATGAGGACTAAGAATAAAGAATCCACCTGCAAAAAATGTTTCTCATGTATTTAATAGCCCATAGAAAGTCTTGAGATACAATTTTTACCCACGATTTAATAAGTAGGAACCTTCAGAGTATGCTAGGCACTGCACAGGGCAAGTGTACCTGTGCCTGAGACAGTGTCTGCCCTCTTAGGAGTCAGTCTGGTTGGTAGAACAAGCCAATCCTTGTGAAGCCAGCACTTATGCAGTATGTTCTGTTGTCTGTTTGCCTGGAAAGACCCTGTCTTTCGGCTATTCCAGAAATTCATACTTATCCCCCAAGGTTTAATAGGCCTTTATAGACTCATCACTGCAAAAGCCTTCTCATAGTCCCCTGACAGAAGTATTCATTCCCTCCTCAGACTTAATGTTTAAAGGACTCGACTATGGCTTTAACTACAGATCTGATCATATTTTGGAGAAATTTGAGCTTTTTGTGGGGGGGTGGGGTGGGGAGTAGAATTCATGGCAGGGCACAAGAAACAAAATGTGAGCACAATTTTAAAAAACCTATTGTCATTATTCCCAAGGGGTAGTTCTTGGGATCTGATACTTTTGAAAAAAGATTCTTTTCGATCCCAGCTGAATCCAGTCTTCACTAAGCCCAGTAACAGTGTGCAGCCATTTGTGTGAGTCTAAATCATTAGTCTGGGCCTACCCAGTTCTAATCGATAAACATTCAAGACTTGATCAGTAGTGCTAAGTGATGTTATCTGCACTGTTTTTGGAGTGGCGTCCAACTTGTATCTTGTTGTGAAAGTGTTAGTCCCTTGGTCATGTCTTTCTCTTTGCGACCCCGTGAACTGTAGCCCACCAGGCTCCTCTGTCCATGGGATTCTCTGGTTAAGAACACTGGAGTGGGTTGCCGTTCCCTTCTCCAGGGGATCTTCCTGACCCAGGGGTTGAACCTAGGTCTTCTGCATTGTAGGGAGATTCTTTACCATCTGAGCCACTAGGGAAGGCACTGTATCTTGTTACAGAAACGTATTGCTTTAAATATATTTAATTATTTTATTTGTGTGTACCAAGTCTTGGTTGCAGCATGTGGGATCTAGCTCCCAGACCAGGGATCGAACCCTGGCCCCCTGTATTGGGAGCACAGAGTCTTAACTGGACCACCAGGGAAGTCCCCACAGACATACATATTTGAGTTTTCCTTTTTTTTTTGGAGAACTTGTTAGGCAGAGTTGCTGATTGTTAAATACAAATATTTTCTTTTTTCCATCTCAGAAGTGGTTGCATTTTTTTCTTTAGGAGACAATTCCGGAAAGAACGAACTTTACTGGGTAGATACAACTCTTTACGGACTGAAAATTATTAATTCTCCCTGGGAAATTAGCAGTGAGATTTTTGGAACAAAAGGTGGCCCTGTTAATTACTGTCCTATTTCTAAGGCTTTCCTGTGTTGCATGGTGGGGCCTGGGCCTAATCCTTGTACATACTTTATAAAGACAGAGCTTTTCTGTTTGTTTTCTTTGGAGGGAAATGTCTTTGGGAGTTGCTTTTCAGTCTGACAGGTATTTGGCCTGACCCAGTAGTGTGTCATCAGTGTCAGCATTTGCTGTCCCCTCCCGTTTCACTGTTTCAGTTGGCTCTCGGCTCTTGAGAGCACCAAGTGGCTCCACCATCTGTCTGTGCTGCTGAAGTCGGCGCTCCTGGTGGTGCACGCGGTGGACCGGGACCAGCGGCCCGTGCTGGTGCACTGCTCCGACGGCTGGGACCGCACCCCCCAGATTGTGGCACTGGCTAAGCTCCTGCTGGACCCCTACTACCGAACCATAGAGGTAGGGTTGAACCCTTCAGGATGACCAGGGGAAACCGTGCAGGGATTTATGATCAGTTTTGGTTGAGGTGGTTAGGTCCAGTCAAAGTGAAATTTCTGTGGTTTAGAATCACTGCTCCTTTACCTTGAGCTAAATTGTAGTAGTACCTACCGCAGCGCCTGTCCTTCTTTAAAGGGGGTGGATTGTAGATAACAAGGTACTGAGCATACAGACATATTTTCCTTTGCAGAATATCTACATGGAAAAGTTTTGGCTACCCCAGAAAATGGGGTTTCTGTAGGAAGGATCTTGATGTGCTTCTTAGGGTAATGGGTCTAGATATCACCACAGTGTTCTGTGCAGAAAGAACCCTATTGTGAAATATCACCTGTTGGATTAGAGAGAAAAGAAAAACCTTTAAGGTACCCTAAAATATATGTAAATCTGGGATTGGGGAAGATTTTACAAACATGATTTCATAAGTGTAACATGAAAGAAATCTAAAAATAAGATATGAAGGGGACAAAAGTGTGACTTTTTAATAGTGAAGGAAGCACTAAAAGTACTGTCTTAACAAAGACTTAGATAAACACTTAATTTACCACCCCTCTGCTGATTATGGATTGGAGGCGGGGGAATTGGGAAACCGTCCTAAGTATGTGTCCTATCATTTGGCCATGGGGTTGGGTCGGGGCTCCTGATGGGCTGAGTGCAGGCTGTTGAAAGGGATTCCTGTTGGTGACCTTAGGTTCAGGACAGTCGTAGTTTGGACAGACAGGCACAAATGGGTCTCTCCTGGGTGCTTCTCCACAGGGTTTCCAGGTCCTCGTGGAGATGGAGTGGCTGGATTTTGGCCACAAGTTTGCTGACCGGTGTGGTCATGGGGAGAACTCGGATGATCTGAACGAGCGTTGCCCAGTGTTTTTGCAGTGGCTTGACTGTGTTCATCAGCTTCAGAGGCAATTTCCATGCTCTTTTGAGTTCAATGAAGCATTCCTTGTGAGTCTTTGCTTGTGATTCTTCATTTTGGGGACCCTCTAAATTCTTAGGGGTATCAGTGTAAGTGTTAGTGGGCCAGTTTTCACATTTAACAGTATCCTTTCTAGATTTAATTAAGGGGCTATTCTTACCTTTTTTATTAAAAAAAAAAAGGTAATACAGGTAAAGGTAATTCATTAAAGGAATTCATTCCTTTAATGAATTCATGTGCACTAAGTTTATATAAAGTCTTTGAGTTGTTCCAATGTAGCTTTAAAAATGTATAATAGAAGTGCTAAACAGTAGTTAAAAATAGAAACAATAGATTTTTGTCTGCTCCCTCCAGTCGATCTTACCAACCCTCCTGGGTCTGTTTCACACTCTCTGCTCCTGTCCTTTGAAGGAGGACACACTGGCCTTGCCCTCTTCCAGCTTCCCTCCACCTGTGCACCAGCTTCCACTCCCTCCTCTGCTCAGCTTCATGGCTTCAGCATTCCTACTTCCCGCCCTCTGTGTCGGCCTGTTCCCGCTTTTCTGGATCACTGCTGTCAGCACACAAGCACGGTGCAGTGCCTCCTGTTTGATCACGCCTGTTCTGGATCCTGCATCCCCCTCGGGCTGTTACCTCATTTCTTATTTCTTCACAGCAGAGCTCCTCAGGTCTTCTACATTTACTCTCCAAAATTCTTCTCCCATTCTGTCTTGAAACCTGGTCAATCAGGTGTTCACCCCACTTTACCAGAGCTGCTCTGAAATTTCTGTGGTTTAGAATCACTGCTCCTTTACCTTGAGCTAAATTGTAGTAGTACCTACCGCAGCGCCTGTCCTTCTTTAAAGGGGGTGGATTGTAGATAACAAGGTACTGAGCATACAGACATATTTTCCTTTGCAGAATATCTACATGGAAAAGTTTTGGCTACCCCAGAAAATGGGGTTTCTGTAGGAAGGATCTTGATGTGCTTCTTAGGGTAATGGGTCTAGATATCACCACAGTGTTCTGTGCAGAAAGAACCCTATTGTGAAATATCACCTGTTGGATTAGAGAGAAAAGAAAAACCTTTAAGGTACCCTAAAATATATGTAAATCTGGGATTGGGGAAGATTTTACAAACATGATTTCATAAGTGTAACATGAAAGAAATCTAAAAATAAGATATGAAGGGGACAAAAGTGTGACTTTTTAATAGTGAAGGAAGCACTAAAAATACTGTCTTAACAAAGACTTAGATAAACACTTAATTTACCACCCCTCTGCTGATTATGGATTGGAGGCGGGGGAATTGGGAAACCGTCCTAAGTATGTGTCCTATCATTTGGCCATGGGGTTGGGTCGGGGCTCCTGATGGGCTGAGTGCAGGCTGTTGAAAGGGATTCCTGTTGGTGACCTTAGGTTCAGGACAGTCGTAGTTTGGATAGACAGGCACAAATGGGTCTCTCCTGGGTGCTTCTCCACAGGGTTTCCAGGTCCTCGTGGAGATGGAGTGGCTGGATTTTGGCCACAAGTTTGCTGACCGGTGTGGTCATGGGGAGAACTCGGATGATCTGAACGAGCGTTGCCCAGTGTTTTTGCAGTGGCTTGACTGTGTTCATCAGCTTCAGAGGCAATTTCCATGCTCTTTTGAGTTCAATGAAGCATTCCTTGTGAGTCTTTGCTTGTGATTCTTCATTTTGGGGACCCTCTAAATTCTTAGGGGTATCAGTGTAAGTGTTAGTGGGCCAGTTTTCACATTTAACAGTATCCTTTCTAGATTTAATTAAGGGGCTATTCTTACCTTTTTTATTAAAAAAAAAAAGGTAATACAGGTAAAGGTAATTCATTAAAGGAATTCATTCCTTTAATGAATTCATGTGCACTAAGTTTATATAAAGTCTTTGAGTTGTTCCAATGTAGCTTTAAAAATGTATAATAGAAGTGCTAAACAGTAGTTAAAAATAGAAACAATAGATTTTTGTCTGCTCCCTCCAGTCGATCTTACCAACCCTCCTGGGTCTGTTTCACACTCTCTGCTCCCGTCCTTTGAAGGAGGACACACTGGCCTTGCCCTCTTCCAGCTTCCCTCCACCTGTGCACCAGCTTCCACTCCCTCCTCTGCTCAGCTTCATGGCTTCAGCATTCCTACTTCCCGCCCTCTGTGTCGGCCTGTTCCCGCTTTTCTGGATCACTGCTGTCAGCACACAAGCACGGTGCAGTGCCTCCTGTTTGATCACGCCTGCTCTGGATCCTGCATCCCCCTCGGGCTGTTACCTCATTTCTTATTTCTTCACAGCAGAGCTCCTCAGGTCTTCTACATTTACTCTCCAAAATTCTTCTCCCATTCTGTCTTGAAACCTGGTCAATCAGGTGTTCACCCCACTTTACCAGAGCTGCTCTTGTGAAGGTCACCAGTGATCTTCACGTCGCTAACCCAGTGATCAGTTTTCAGTCACCTTTTAAAAAATTAGTATAATTGATAACATTTTGTTAGTTTCAGGTATACAACAGTGATTTGATACTTGTATATATTGCTAGTTAGTTAGTTCGGTCGTTCAGTCGTGTCCGACTCTTTGCAACCCCATGAACCGCAGCACACCAGGCCTCCCCATCCATCACCAACTGCCAGAGTCTACCCAAACTCATGTCCATTGAGTTGGTGATGCCATCCAACCATCTCATCCTTTGTCATCCCCTTCTCCTCCTGCTCTTAATCTTTCCTAGCATCAGGGTCTTTTCTAATGAGTCAGCTCTTCATATCAGGTGGCCAAAGTATTGGAGTTTCAGCTTCAACATCAGTCCTTCCCATGAACACCCAGGACTGATCTCCTTTAGGATGGACTGGTTGGATCTCTTTGCAGTCCAAGGGACTCTGAAGAGTCTTCTCCAACACCACAGTTCAAAAGCATTAATTCTTTGGCGCTGAGTTCTTTACAGTCCAGCTCTCACATCTGCTAGAAGATACCCCAAATCTAGTTAACCTTTGTCACCATGCATAGTGACAGTTTTTGCTTGTGATGAGAGCTTTTAAGATGTTGCTCTCTGGCAGCTTTCAGATGTACAGCACAATACTGCTCACTGTCTTACGACCGACCCCCTGACTTATATCTCCCTAACTCACGTCACATCCCGCTGACTTGTTTTATAGTAGGAAGTTTGTACCTTTTGACTTTTCTTCATCTTCTTTGGTTCATCGTTAATATTTGGCATAATTTAATCACCCCTTTCTGAAACACTTTTCTTCAGTTGACTTCTAGCACACACTCTTAGGTCCCTGCTTCACCAGCTGGTCCTTTCTGTCTCCTTAGCCGGTTCTTCCTTACCCCCCACTTCTGAATGTTGGAATGCCCCAGAGTTCAGTCTCCTTCTCTAGGGATTTCATCTGGTCCTTTGGCTTTAATTGCTGTCTGTGATTCTCACATGTATAGTCTTCAGCCTAGACCTCTGTCTCTACTTAACTCCAGGCTCTGATATCTGCTTGTGACTGCTCAATATCTCCACTTGAACGTCTTAATGGTATTTCAAACTTAACATTTTCAGAACTTAGTTCTTAATATCTATATCTCCCCACCTCAAAACTGATCTTCCAGAAGTCTTCCTTCTCACCAAATGTCAACTCAATCCTTCCAGTTCTTTTAGGGCAAAACTTATATTGTCCTCAACTCCCCTTTCATATTCCACATTCAGTCTGTCAGCAGATTCTGTCGTTCTGCTTTAAAAATGTACCTAAAACCTGATAACTTATTGCTACCTGTGCTGTTCCCAGCACTGGTCTAAGCCACCATCAGCTGTTGCTCCAATTGCAGACAGTCCAGCAGCCTCAGAGGTCCTTCTGAAACATGATATAGACTGTGTCTTTCCTGTCAGGAAACCTCTAGTTACTCTGCTTTTCCACACAGTAAAAGTCACAGTCCCTAAAGTGGCCTGCAGGGCTCTCCTAGAGGTTACCGTCCAGGCTCATTTCCTCCCACCCTTCACCTCATGCAGTGTCTGTCAGTCACACTGGCCTCCTTCAGTTCCTCAGAAGTGGCAAGCTTGTGCTCATCTCAAGACCATTGTGCTAGCAGTTGCTACTGCCTGGAACAGTCTCCCAGCTCCCTTCCTCCAATGTGCATACGCCCTGCTCTCTCATCTTCATCAGGTCTCTGCCACGGAGGCCTCTCACGCTGCCCTGCGTGTGCTCCAGCCCTCTTCCCTGCCTTCCTGCCTTACTGTGCCTCGCACTGCTCACGCCTCCCCGGCAGGGCAGGAGAGCAGTCTCCTCACTGCTGCTTCTCTGCACCCATAGACACGTCTGGGCTGCCCCACAGCGGCGTGTTGAGGGAGAAGTGTTCTCTCAGTTCAGACTTGGTGGCCCACTGACCCGCTCCTGTGCCCAGTTAACTTAGGACCTCGGAAGTTGTTGACCAGGAGGCTGAGAGGATGGGGGTGCCAACGCCCTTTTGACGCAGGAGTGGGTGGTGGTCAGGGTTGTGAGGAGGCTGCAGCTTGGTTCCCCCATCCTTCCCGAGTGTGAACGGAAGTGCACATCAGGGGTGTTGGGGAAGGTGGCTCTGCTGGGCTGACGTCCCCCCAGAAAACATGCGCCCCTTGCTTGATTTTGCTTCATGTTGGGTCTCACAGGTGAAACTGGTGCAGCACACCTACTCCTGCCTCTTTGGGACATTCCTGTGCAACAACGCCAAGGAGAGAGGGGAGCAGCACACGCAGGAGCGGACGTGCTCGGTGTGGTCACTGCTGCGGGCGGGCAACAAGGCCTTCAGAAACCTGCTGTACTCCTCGCAGTCGGACGCCGTGCGTATCCTGCAGTCTTCCTGCTCTCAGCAGCGGAATAAACTCGGGGATGGGGACACGGGGGGTCCTCTTCAACAAGCCATCTTGGTTGTCTCTGGATAGGCTTGCTTCCATTTTTTTCCAACCACTCTGTCCTGAGAAAGGCCTGTTTTCTGGTTATGCTCTGCCCTGCTTCCGACTCCTCTTTGTTTGGAGTGGTTTGACCTTAACACACGTCTCTACTTGGCTACTCTAGATAAGAGTCTTTTCTAAGCGTCTCTGCCAGAGCTTAACTTACTCCGAGCATCTCCTGACATGTGGAAGAGGCACTTAAGTCATTCCTCGGATGCCTGACAGCTCAGAAGGTGCTGCAGGCCCCCCGCATCTTCCCAGTGTCAACAGGTGGTGATACCCACTGCACCTTCTGCCTCAGCAGAAGACTGTGTGACACTAGCATGTCTGTCTGATTGACCCTCTGCTCACATGGAGAACTGGCAGCTCCTTTAAGCCTTTGTTCCTCAAAGGAACACCTTCTGTTAAGCAGAGAAAAGGAAGCACATACATCTGTGCACTGGTCCATGGTCTTGTTCCTCATGTCAGAATGCATCTTAAATTCTAAGTCACAAGGAGGCTGCTGCTGCTAAGTTGTTTCAGTTGTGTCCCACTCTTTGCGACCCCGTGGATGGCAGCCTACCAGGCTCCTCTGTCCATGGGATTTTCCAGGCAAGAGTACTGGAGTGGGTTGCCATTGCCTTTTCCAACAAGGAGGCCAATCTGAGGTTATATTGATTTGCTGGACTATTAATGAATGACTTCTTACTTCAGTTAAGTGGTCCAAGGAAGGATTGAAGCTAGCTGCTTCTCTCTCTCCTGTGCCTGCAGACACGTATTAGTGTGGAAGAAAGCTTCCTTCCTTCCTTTTCCATATGATTAATTTAGATGATCTGGTAAAACAGGTTTGACAGTGTGTTCTGAAGCCAAGCTTTGTACCAGGGAACAGACAATCACCATCTAGCAGAATGACTCGCTTTCTTGTGCAGTAAAAGCAACAAATTAAGCTGAGAAAAGCCAGTCATTCAGTAAAGGTGACTTAAGAAATAACTAATGAGAAATGGATTTTTGAAAAATGTTTTTAGATTTTCATGCCCACAGAGGCTCTCGGGTGAAAAACATCTACCACCCTCTCTTGGCCCGATAAGAGCTGCGTTCATTCATGTAATGGCTCTCGGAGACCTTGCAGGACTGCTGGGTGTCCCCGCTTGGTGCTTGCTCTTCCCCTCATTTCTGGACGTTTCTCACAGACTTGTGGGAACTTGTTTGAACCCATGTTCCCCGCTCTCTCCTCAGGTGCTGTATCCTGTGTGCCACGTGCGCAACCTGATGCTGTGGAGCGCAGTGTACCTGCCCTGCCCGTCCCCGTCCACCCCTGTGGACGACAGCTGCGCGCCGTACCCCGCCCCAGGCTCCAGCCCCGACGAGCCGCCTCTGAGTCGGTGAGCCTGGGGCTGATGCCGAGTCCTCAGGTCCTTCAGCGGTGTATTCCTGTGTTGGGGTGTATACAGGGATGGTCAGAGGTTTTGACATTGTCTGGCTCCTCACCTTTCTAAGCTCTCTTGAGGTTTTCTTAGGGAAGGTATAAGGGTTTTGGGCTGTGAGGCTGTATGAGCCTTGTCCCTGAAGAGTCCTGGGCCCTGTTTCCACTGTGCTCTTGGGCAGTTTCTCAGTGATGGAGCAAACCTTCTGTGTTCCTGTGACCCACAGCTCTGTGCTCCTGCCTCCCTGTTGTGACATGTCACCTTGCTCTTGAAAGGCAGATTTTATTAGATGATAATCTGCTTTGCAACCTATGAATTAGCTTTACTGAATTCAGACTGATGACTAATAAGAGTAATTTAAAAATATTGTACTCTCAGAAAATCAGCAACACTACTTTGCTTTGCCACTAATTGAGAAATGCAGAAGTATCATGAAGATTGTCTTTCTAAAACCGTGTTTGGCATTAGTTTATCTGTATGTATTGGGCATGAGGTAGGGGAGGTGCCCGAGAGTAGGTGGTCTCAGCCTGCCTGCAGCCTGAGTCTTACTCCAGATATGCCACGGCTCCTTGAGTAGCTGTGATGGAGCCAGTGAGGAAATGACTGCCTGTTAAAACCTGTTGTCTCTGGCTTACCCTAGAACAACCTCAGATCCTCATTTCCCCCAAACTCCTTTCTTTAGGCTACCAAAGACCAGATCATTTGACAATCTGACCACCGCCTGCGACAACACAGTGCCTCTGGCCAGCCGGCGCAGCAGTGACCCGAGCCTGAATGAGAAGTGGCAGGAGCACCGTCGCTCACTGGAACTGAGCACCCTGGCTGGTCCTGGGGAGGAGCCCGTGGAGCCTGACAGCCTGGGGAAGCCAACCAAAGTGCTGGGTGGTGCCGAGCTGTCTGTTGCGGCTGGAGTAGCTGAGGGGCAGATGGAGAACATTTTACAAGAGGCCACCAAAGAGGAGAGTGGGGTAGAGGAGCCAGCCCACAGGGGGTTGCAGGAGGTCAAGGAGGAGGCTCTGTTGGAAGAGGGGAGCAGGGGTAAGGGCCCCGAGGGCTCAGCTCGTGAACTTGATCAGCAGCCAGAGGTTGGTGAGGCTGCCCTAAGGAGCCATCCAGGCAGCAGCCCTCCTGGGCTCTCTCAGGGTGCTCCTGAGCAGGGCGGGCCCACTGTTCTCCCCAGTTCTCTCCAGGAGCCGCCCAGGGGAGAGGGTACCCAGGAGGTCCCTGTGGCACCGTCTCAGATAGGAGCTGTGGCAGAGGACAGGCAGGAGGCAGCCCTTCCCGTCTCAGCAGATGTGGATGTTGACTCTGGTACCTCACCATCAAGTTCTCTGCCCTCCCAAGTTCCATTTGAGACCAGAGGACCAAACATGGATGGGTCTGTGGACATGTTAATGGAAGATAAAGTGAAGTCAGACAGTGGGCCTCAGGGCCATCATAGACCTGGCCCAGTCCACAGGGACCGGCTCAGTAGCAAGGACGTGCTTCCTCCAGCTGTGGAGCCCAGGCCTATGGAGAGAAGCCTGGTGGAGACACCCCAGCTGGGGCCTGTGGTGCGCAGGACTTCCCTTGGCGGTGCCTGGAGCCCAGCACATTCTCCTAGTGCCTTTCCTTTAGCCGAATGTAAAGAGGGGCTTGTGTGCAACGGTGCCCCAGAGGCTGAAAATAAGGCCTCGGAGCAGCCCCCAGGGCCTACTACCCTCCAGAAGTACCCCACCCCCAATGGACACTGCGCCAATGGGGAGACCAGGAGGAGCAAGGACTCCCTGAGCCGCCAGCTGTCGGCCACAAGCTGCAGCTCTGCCCACACACACGCGAGGAGCTTGCACCCCAAGTGGCTGCACGGCCACTCGGGGAGGCCGTCGGCCGCCGGCAGCCCTGAGCAGCCTTCCCGCAGCCACCTGGACGACGACGGCATGCCTGTGTACACAGACACGATCCAGCAGCGCCTGCGTCAGATCGAGTCGGGCCACCAGCAGGAAGTGGAGACCTTGAAGAAACAAGTCCAGGAGCTGAGGAGTCGCCTGGAGAGCCAGTACCTGACCAGCTCCCTGCGCTTCAACGGGGACTTTGGGGATGAAGTGGTGAGTACACCATGGTGCCTCCATCTGCACAGGAGATGGGCACGCTGTGCCGGGCGCCCTCTGCCCGATTTCAGAAGCAGTCGGAAAGGTCTAGAATAGCCCTGGGGAGAGGCTGGAGACCCGCCTCCGCCAGGTGACCAGCAGTGCTGCTTTTTCTCTTCTGCCTGCCCACTCTCCACAGGTGTCCTGTCTCCAGGAGAGGCAGGAAGAGGGCGCACTCACCGTGTGGTCGGCCAGCTCTCTGTGCAGAGAGGGTCAGGCCTTGAAGGGCGTGAGCTGGGCAGAGTGACCTTTGTCTGGCAACACAGATGTGCCTGTCCACTTACAGTGTCTGTCCTACCTCACCCCCCAATAACGTGAGCTGTGGCTTGGAAGGTTTAGTTCTTTCAAACATATTTGTACCCATCTTGTGGCCGGTGATGGCAATAGAGATGGGAAGAAGGATTGGTTTCTAGCACGGTCGGGAGTTAGTGCAGATGGGCCTGGTGACTGGAAGTGGGGGTACCTGAGGGGAGGGTCTCGGGAGACACTCCCCTTCCTGGTGGGTTTGACTCGGCATGATTAAGTACAGCTGTGTCTGGCTCTGAATCAGTCAGCGTACATTAAAGGCGGGCTCATCCAATGACTTCACTTCAAACTGACTTGGGTTTTTCATTTCCCCAGAGTCCTTCAGAGAAAGGAGGACATGCCCAAAGCACTATTTCAGCACACAGATGTCAGTGGCAGGGTTAGATTGGCAGGTCCCCTGGAGCAGCCAACGTGGAGTTCCCACTCCACCCTGGTCACTTTTGCCTACTCACTCCCTGGAACCCGAGGCCTGCCCTGCCACCCCAGAGTCACTGCACCCCGCCTTAGATCTGTGTATCTCTCTTGCAGCTGAGCTCAACCCTGTCTCTGCACCTGCTCAACCCAGCTCTCGATGGCTGAGGCACCTAGAGATTCAGCAGCCCTAACACCCAGGCCCGCCCACATTCCTTGTGCTCCCTTCTTTGCCAAGCTCTTTCTTCTTCTGGGAGGAGACCAGGTTCATTCTGTTCAGCTGTGTTTGTTTGCCAACAGACTTCAATTCCCGACTCGGAAAGCAATCTGGATCAGAACTGTTTGTCTCGCTGCAGCACAGAGATTTTCTCTGAAGCCAGCTGGGAGCAGGTGGATAAACAGGACACGGAGGTACAGGCTCAGCCCCTGTTCTGAGTGCCACCCATGCAACTATTTTGCGGTTCTTCTCCACCCCCATCATCTGTTCCCCCTGCCCCAGCCAAGGAAAGAGCTCACCACACACTTAGCCCTCTCTGAGTCTCAGCACCTATGACTTCCTTCAGATCTGGAGTTTCTGAGCCAGGGCAACTCGAGCCAGCCCTCTCCTCTGTGCCTTTGCATGGAGCCTTGCCCACTCTCACAGCAGCCGGGCTGCTCTGGCTGCCTCTCGCTCTCAGGGGCGTTTGGAGTCCCCTCGAGGGGAATGATTTGGACGCCTTTCTTGTACTGCTGACATCAGGCCTGATGGGCTGGTGCCCCTGGAGCCAGTGTGGTCCTTGTGACTCTTCTGCCCCAGCATGGCTCCGTTGGCTCCAGCTGGATGGCCCATCTCCTGTCACTGACCTGGCCCCGTTGTTTTACAGATGACCCGTTGGCTCCCTGACCACCTGGCCGCCCACTGCTATGCGTGTGACAGCGCCTTCTGGCTTGCCAGCCGGAAGCATCACTGCAGGTGCACCTGGGGGGCGTGGCGGGGCGGTTTCTTTCTGGGCTGCAGAGTGAGTGGCTACGGGTGCTTTGCCCCAGCTGGGGTGGTGACTGGAGCATAGTGTTCCTGGGATAGGAATTTGATCTGAATTGTGACAGAGCCTCATCCTTGTGAGTGGGCCTGGATTGAAAATGGAACCACCCCCCTGTCCAGCAATGATGCTTCCAGGACTGTGTGTCTCCCTGCTCTCACCCAAGCCCAAATGTCTAGTTGGCTTCTCCTCTGAGCTCTCTCTCCCCTCCTTGCAGGGATACTGATCGTGTTGATCAAACATGGTGAGCATTTGCAACAGCCTGTCTGTGGTGTCTGCACATCTGCAGTAACTTCTCCACACTAACGCTCCCATTCTCCCTCTCTGCACTCACTGGGATGAAGCTTGGGTCCGGGAGCGCAGGCGGGTGGGCTGGGGGCGTGGGGGCACCACAGCTGCTGGCTGAGGAGACCACTGGAGCTGGTCAGGCTGCAGCCAAGGGTGTGCCTGCTGACTGCACAGGTCAGGCGAGCCATCTGCTTAGGCGAGCCCTTAAGAGGGCTGCTTCAGCAGGGGCTGGTCCTGTGAAGTGGCCAGTAGAGGGGTTTATAGAGCTTTGTCTTTTGGGTCAGTCATTCTCTGCGATGCCAGAATGGTACTGGCATCACTGGTCTTTCCTTTTTTTTTTTTTTTCTCTTTGGGGAAAAAAAAAAAGAGCCCAGGACTGAACAGAGGTGGTCTTTCCAGAGAACTGCTAACATTGAAAACTGCAAGGCAAGACCCCACATGCCATCTGTCAGGATTGCCTGAGAGAGGTCAGATAGACAACCATAGCTTATCAAATTCATGTCAGGCCTTTGAGTTGAATTCCAGCAGGTATGTGAAATAAATGTACACATTAAGAGATAGATTGAGGCAATTTCTCTCTGTAACCACAGGTTCTTACTGATGCACGCTTTTCAGAAAAAGTTGTGAATTACTCACTGCATTCCAGAGGATGAAGTCTTGTGTGTTGGTTTTCCTTCTGTCTTTTCATTGCCCCTTTCCTTTTGTGGTATTCTTTTATCTGCAAAGGGTATTCAGCATTCTCTTTTGTGCTTAAGTGGTCCTTAATCCAGCAGTGGGTTTCCTTTCTGAGGAGCATCAAGGAGAAGGTTGTGAGTGATGCTGGCTGAGGAGGAGTTACCCTTTAGCTTTTGACCCCACATTGTTGGAGGGCTGCATCAGACTCCTTGGGAACCTCCTGTTGGGCTTATTGGGGTTGATTTTAGGACCTTCCCAGAGTGGGGCTGTAAGGTGAGCAGAACCTCAGCCTCTGCCAGTTCCCTTTCCTGGAGGCTGTGTAGGGCATCTGTTTGGCTGTGCAGACCTATGCTGCACACACGCGTCAGAGCTGGGCTTTCAAATGGAGGAAGGGTGAGAGGTCAGGGTGCAGTCAGGCCTTCAGAGAGCAGATATACTCCCTGGAGATGCATGCGGGCAGCAGAGTGACCCACGAGTGACTGACCCTTGTCTGATCGGGGGTGTGTATGCACGCGTGTTCATCTGCATTGTACTTTTACCCTGAGCACGTGGCATGGGTCGTTCGTCTCCTGGCTTCGCATGCCGGCAGCACAGCAGTCCTAGACGACAGCAGCTTGTTCTGTGTTACTGCCTCTGAGCCTTTGGGCACGGGCTCCTCACTCCCCAGGTGGGCTGGAGGTTTCTCTCATCTGAGTGGCTCGGAGACCAATTGAATTGGTCTCTGGCCTCTTTATGATCACAAGCTACACAGAGGCCATTGCTCAGGTGGGTGTGGCCACAGGGTTTTCCTGGGCCAAGACTCAGCCATCGAGCTAGAAGCTGCCTTCCACCCTGGGCCCATTTGCTTCCATGGATCTCTGTTGAGCAGCATCTTCTGACACCTGGTAACCTTGAGCCGTAGTGATAAGGCAGCCAAGTGTCCTGGACCCTAAAGTGAAAGTGGTGTGCGACTGTGCTCAGGAGGGGTCCCTTCCCTGCCTGGCTTCTCACTGGGTCAGACCCATCGGAGTGTTTGGTGTAGAGGAGTCTCCAGTCTCTAGCACATCTGAGTTGCATACAGGGCAGCTCTGCCTTCCTGAAGTTGGTTTCCCCAGCCTGTCTCTGCTGCTGACACTAATGCTGTTTCTGTTTTTTCTCATCTCAAGGAACTGTGGGAATGTATTCTGCTCCAGTTGTTGTAACCAGAAGGTTCCAGTTCCCAGCCAACAGCTCTTTGAACCTAGTCGAGTGTGCAAGTCTTGCTATAGCAGCCTGCATCCCACAAGCTCCAGCATTGACCTAGAACTGGATAAGCCCATTGCTGCCACTTCAAACTGAAGCTCCGTGACCTGGGCGGGCGGAGGCCAAGCTGCTGCTCCCCTGACAGGCCTACTCAGCCTGGGCAGACCTGGAGGCCCGTGCGCTTTGGGATGGGGACATGAACCAGCTGTGCAGAATGGTGGCACTCTGGGATGTACCACTGGGTTGTGCTTTTGATTCCTCCCTTCCCATCCCACCCCGCATTTTTTTCCTCTCCATTTTCTATCCTCCCTCTGCCTCCAAAAAAGAGAAAAGTACCCTGGTTGTCTTTTTAAAAAAAAAAAAAAAATTATTATTTTTTGATGGAAGACCAGAGGTTGCCAGCTGTTGAGCGATGCTGAGCGGTGCTTTGTTCTTCAGGATGGGAGGAGGCTGGTTGAGTCAGGAATGGAGGCCTGAGTTAGACAGCGGGGAATAAAGCCAGTGCTGCCGTTTGTGACTGATCCTCGTTACCACCGCCACATCAGAGCTGAGTGGAAAACCATTGCTTTTGAGGACGCCAAGAGCATCTGCCCTAAGAGCAGTTCCGTGTGCCCTCTCCCCCTCAAGAGGGGCTGGGCCAGTCCCCCCACAGGCAGAGGAGTGGGGTTGGGAGGGGGCATGCTCCGGAGGCCCTGAGAGGGCTGGCAGTGGGTGGCTGGCATCTCCTCCTCCCTGGGATTCTCGTTCTCTTGTTAACAGACCCAGATGTCTGGGCCCCCCTCACTGTCAGTGATCAGCCCCCTCAGCCAGGCCGGCAGCACTTCCCCCCGCCTCAGGCGTCAAACCGGCCAGGGCATAGCACCCCGCTGCTGCAGTCAGGGCCGAAGTAGGCGCTGAGCCCGGGGGGCACCTGAAAGCCCCCTCCAGGGCCTGGACCCCCAAACACTCTCTTCCTCAGCCAGCACAGGGAAGTCCAGACTCAGGGTTCCCGAGATGCCCCACTCCCAAACAATCGTGGATCTCCCCCTTGAGGGGTAGAATCGGCCTCTCAGAGTGCAAGCGTCTGGAAAGGGGGAGTGTGTCCCACAGAACCAGCCTTCCTCCACCGCCCCTTGGAGCAGCTGGCAGGGCCCCGCCATTGCCCGGTCCTGCTGTGTGCTACTTGTCAGCCGCGAGGGGCGACGTGGTGACTGCAGGGTTCCTTAGAGAAGGGACACAGCCCGTCGGAACTGCGAGGCACCTCTCCTCAGCAGGCTTTGATGTGGCCCTCAAAGAGCCTTAAATCAGGGTTTGTGGTGGAGGTGGGCATGCAGAAGGGTGGAGCGGAGTTTAGGTTTGTGCTTTGGGATCTTGGTGTCCACGTTTTGTGCCTGCCCTCTCTCCCGGGGGAAGGGCCATCTAGGCTCAGTGAAAAGCTGCTAACTGGTAACAGGGCAGATTGTGGTGAGCAGTGGGGGTGCGGCCTGGGAACTCTCCTGACCCTTTGGGAGCGGTTCCCTGGCGAAGGGCAAGTTGTGTCTCAGGAAGGTGGCTCCTGTGTGCCTGGGTGTAGCCAAGACTTGGCCCGGAAGCCTTCCCTGGAGCTGTCAGTCCAGGCAAAGCCAAGGGTACCTGAGCACGTCTGACTTTCCAGTGGCAGCAAGCTGCTCAGAATTTGTATTTAGTGAAACAGGGTGTAAGTTCTCCACACTCTTGTGTGGTCAGGCCTTGCAGGTTGGGAGAAGTCAGTCTAATTGAAGATTGTGCAGTTCCTAGTGACAGGTGCCAAGAGGTAATGATTACGGGTTTCTTGGGTCTGATGTACAGTGTGAATAAATGCTTGCAGCTCTTAGCCCTTTTTTGATCAATGAAGCACTTTTTTATTAATATTTTTCTTTGTATGTAAAGGAGGAACCGTAACTCTCCGTAGCTGTACATATAACCCTTTTCTCCTAAAGAGGAGTCAGTCAGCGCTCCTATATTTTTCATTTTTTGTCAAAAGCAAGAAGTAAATACTTTAGAACTGTTAAATATATAAATAAAGTGAATAAAGTTTAGTGTTCCGCATGGTAGCATTTGCTAACACGTTCTGATTTTTCCCCCTGTGGTGTATTCCCCTTCATCCCATTTCCCTCTGACACCAAAGCAATTTGAGGTGCTGCTGAGAAATTGAACTCTGACACAGGAAAACCAGATTTCTTTTCAACTCTAGACCTTGGCAAGGAGCCTGCACCGTGATGCCCACACACTGAAGCACATTTCCTTGATGGTTTTTGCCCCTATTGTCTCCAAAGTTAAAAAGACAAAGCATCTTTAACAGTCGGCCATTCTTCCTTATCTGAAGAAGTGTGTGTCAACAGTAATTAAAACTACTTCAGTCCTCCAGGCTTTTTTTTTTTTTTTTGCTGTTACTTTGGTTTCAGCCAGTACTCCGGCCCCTTAACCCTACGCACCAAGGGCGCGTCGGCAGCGCCTGCAGCAGCAGGTGAGCACCGAGGCCTGCATGCAGCGGAGACTGGGGGCGGTTTGAGGGGGTGGCCAGAAAGCACCTCGCCTCTGCCTGTCCTTGGCAGAGACTCCTTGGGGCAGAAGCTGAGCTGGATGCAAGTGGACTGTGTGTGTCATTAAGAGGTCTCCTTCCTCCTCCCACAGGAGGGAGGAACCTCCGCCTCTTAGGTCTGCAGCCAGTCAAGAAGGCCATGGCTTCTCGTCACTTCCTGACTCGCTCCTGCTCTCTGTAGAGGGATCTTCCTTCCCGTGTCACTGTTGGGCACCCTTCCCGTCCCTCGGGCCTCTGGGGGACGTAACGTGATGCAGTCCTTCCCGAGGGAGGGTAGGTACCGAGTAGTGCCCAGCTCTGGGGTTGCCAGCCTTACATCCGAGGTGAGTTGGGGGCTCTTGACAAGTGGCCTGTGATGACCACCTGAGAGCCTCCCAAGGCCCTCATCACTCTCTCGATGTGGTCACTGCTTAAAGTACACACACACTTTAAAACACTCCAGCTGGTTCCAGTCTGCCATCTCTGTGTGCCACCTGGCAGGTGTGTGAGGGAGAAGGTGCCACTTCAGTGGCCTTCAGTCCATCAGGGAGCAGAGTCTGGGTTCAGGCCACGTTGTGAAAACCTGAGTGTGTCTCTGCACAGAGCTCCTGTTCCTGAGGGCTGATGCTTTAGGCCTTGGGAAGTTAGAAATCCTGGTAGAATCTAACAAAGCTGTTGGGGCCGTAGACAGGGAGCTGCTGGCGTTAGGAAGATGGATAAGACCTGCACAGTGTGGGCAGAAGGCAAGGAAGCGCCCCATGGAGGAGGCTGTACGTGGAGGAATTGGTTACCCGAGGACACAGCCAGTTTTCCTCACTCAGAGGTATTTGATCTCTGAGCCCCCGAGTGCTAAAGGTAACCTTGAGGTGCCAGGTCATCATCTTCATCTCCGGATTTGCCTTTCATGGGTCTCTCCAGTACTTCCCTTCTTTCTGTACTTTGGTCTCAATCCTGGTCCAAAAAACGATAGCGCTGCAGTGATCCACTAAGACTTCCTAGTAAAGGTGTACAGAAAATTGATTTTGCTAAAATACTCATTGTTTATTTTTACATTAGCAAAGAATATTCTAAAGAATTAAATACTGTGGCACACTTAAAGGGGAATGAAGAAAATGCTCCCAGAGCATTTGTTAAACTTCCAGCTATTAAAAAAAATCAAAATGGGAGTTGAGTAAACCCTAGAATACGGTCTTCAGGCCACGTGACTTGATACGCCTGGCCTGGCCCAAAGGCTGGGTGATCCCGCTCCTGTGTCGCGGCATGCCACGTTAGCTGAGGGTGCAGCTGACAGTGGTGACAGCGGGCCTGGGCTGCGCAGCAGAATGACTGACTCTCCACTTGGAGTTTGGAGAATGTGATAGGGGTCCAGCTGCCAGTTGGTTTCATCATCTAAGAGCATTTGTTCTAAGTGGAGCTTACCGATGAGGTATCTGGAGGGCAGGACTAGATCTAGTGAGAGGCGGCGGCTCTGCTCCCAAGCCTCTGACTCCTTGGGCGGTCTCCCTGGCCCCGATACACCGCAGCAATGCTGCCTGCATCTTCTCCCTTGTTTGCAGGAGTCTGCTGCCTGCTCTGCAGATACCAGTTGGCTCCCTGGTCACACAGGGCTCTTCTAGGTTAGGCAGGTGGTCAGAGCCATGAGGGGAAAGGGTACCCTCTGAAGTAGGAATTAACAAAGGTTTTAAAAGCCGTTGTATTTTATTTACCACTTACTGTCTTTCTATCATATCCATGTTCTTAGTTAGCTTCTGTTACACTGCTCATGGAAGCTGGCATTTCAGTTGTATTTCCAGTGAAGTTTTACATCGGCTTTCAAAGTTGACTTTTAACTGCTTCCAGACTGGTTTTAAGATTTTTTTCTAAATGCAAAACTTAACCCCTGAGGCTTGGATCCTGATTAAAGAAGCCTGTTGCTCTGACTGACAGCAGTGCCTGCTGCTGCAACAGCCTTGATTGTGCTGTGGACTGAGTGACTGTGTGAACTAAGGAGCTATCATTTTCACCCACAGTTGTTCAGCCCCTTGCACTGTGGTTCTCTAGTCAGTCTTGTGGCCAGTGTTTAGGTGCCTGGAGTAAATCCACTCTGCCCCTTAGTCTGTTCAAGAGCCTCGGAGGGGACAGCAGGAGTCCACATTTGTGTTTCAGAGAACTGGGACTTGAAACTCTGACATTAGAGGTGGGTAAGGGAACTTAGGTGGGTAGTTTCGTGGTTTTCATGCTCTTCTGTGGGGAGCGAGCCTCCCTCCAGCCCATTTTAGTATTGGGCTTCCAAGTAAGATCTGATTTGAAGAAAGGTTTTGATGATTAAAATTAAAATTATTGATTTAATCCACCCTCCTGGTTTTAACTTTATTTTTTACAGTGGTCCTTATTGGTTAAATGTTTTAAAAACAACAGTGTGTTCATGTGAATTCCAAACTCCCAAACTATCGTCTCCTGCCTCACCCCACCCTTCCCCTCTAGTGACCTTACATTCATTCTGTTTCTGTTTTGTAAATAACATTGTAGTTTTGATTTGCATTTCCCTAATAATTACTGGTGATGAGCATCTCTTTATGTGGCTGTTGGCCATCTGTATGTCGTCTTTGGGAAAATGTTTAGGTTTTCTGCCCATTTTTTGATTGGGTTGGGTTTTTTTGTTGTTACTGAGTTGTATGAGCTGTTTGGTGACTAATCCCTTGTGGGTCATGTTTGTGATTTCCTTTGTTGTGTAAAAGCTTTCATGTTTAATTGGGTCCCCTTTATTTTTTGTTTTTATTCCCATAACTCTGGGAGATGGACTGAAAAAGCTATTGCTGCTATTTATATCAAAGAGTATTCTGCCCATGTTTTCCTCTAAGAGTTTTATAGTATCTGGTCTTACACTTAGGTCTTTAATCCATTTTGAGTTTGTGATGCTTTGTTGAGAAAAATGAGATTCAGGGAGCAGCAAAGATTCATCCAGGGTTACCAGTGAATAAACAGCAAAATGTGAATAAGAAACTTCTCTCCTGATGCCTTCCCCTCAGAGCTCTTGGGCTTCCAGAGAGCAGCCTTAGATAAATAGTTATTCTAACCTGGTTCTCTTTGAATTAGCCAAATCAGAAATCTTGGATTAGAGCCTAGCAGTCACTACACAAAGGCTTAAACTGTAAGTCCTCCTATCCCTGGTAACCAAAATCAAAAAGTTTTATTTTTATATATAATCCAGGTTTGTTTTTTTCCTTTTAACCTTTCAAGTACCTAAAAACAATGTTAATAGAATGAACTAAATTCAAGTCACAATGTCTTAAAATTAGTGTGGTGGCAAGGGTCAGCGTGGGGAAGCATTTCCGACCAGTGCAAGTTGTGAACTCAGTGTCCAATTCATATCTGCTTTTATTTGGAATGCTATAGAGGAATAAGCCTTATTTTCATCTATTTAAGTGGAAATAGTTAGTTTGTCTGCAGTCTCTGCTTATGGACAAAGCTGAAGTAGATGCTTGAAAAAAAGGATTAACAGAGGACTACCCAGGACCTGCTTCCAGCCCTCATCTTCCATATATCAGGTGAGACACACCCAAAGGTTATAATCACTAACATTACACATGGTGACAGCCACTAGCAGCCAGGTGTGGTGATCCCAGCACCAGGCTTGCACCCTCCCAGCAGCGACCCAAGAAGCCCTCACAAGCACGAAACTGGAGGCCTTACCTGAGATCTCTGGCAGCCTAAGCCGTGCGTGTTTTATCTCGGAGCGTACCTGTTAAATATTGAAAATCATCCTTAATATGACACTTGCAGTGAGTGACTGCAGGGAACCTCTGAAGTGCCGCCACAAAAGCCACTTTCAAAACCAGTTATTTGATGTGAAGAGTCTGGGGTTTCTGAGCCCACAGCTTGGGGTGGAATCCAGCCCTGCAGCACCCACTGAGCAGCGGCCCCGGGGTGGGGGTCGATGATGAGCACCTAGTGAGTGCTCCCCGCCCCCGTCCCTGAAGCAAGGGCTGCTGTGTCCACTGCTGGCGGACGCGGGGAGCCATCCGAGCCAGCCAGGCTCCTGTCCCACCATGTCTTAACACTTGAAGACAAGTGGTCCTGTCCTGGGTCTTGCACCTTACAGAGGTAACATTCTGATCTGAGTTTACTTGCAGTAACGTGCAATTGTGTCACTAGTCGAAGACCTCAGAGTTCACATGTGAACTTTAAATATCGATGTATTTTAAATGGAAGCAGGTCTGGAGGTGCACCGCTGCTTTAGAATCCCATAAAAGCAAAAGGAAAGAGGGGCCAGAGAAACACTGCCTGTTGGAGTTGAGGTGGCCTCAGCTTGCCAAACAGCCGGCAAGTCTCAGGTTCCCGACTGAACGGCAGAAGCCGAGAGATGCCAGAGCAGCCGCTCTGCAGGCTGAGCAGCCGGGGAGGGAGAGCGCTGGGCCTCGCCTCGGCACAGCGCGGCTGGCTGGGGCGCGGGCCTGGGCCAGGCTGTGTCTGCTACTGAGCAGGTGAGCCTGAGGTTGGAAAGAGGGACGACCTTCCCTTCAGCTCACCCCCCTTGCCACCTCCCATGCCAGAGGAGCCCGGG